GAGTCGCAACGTTTCATGGGAGATGGCGTGACTCAGTATCACGCGTGTCCCACGCATAAACATATTCGTCTAGCCATCTTTTTTTCTCTTGAAAATGTCAGAAAGTTGATCCTATAATTTTTTGAGTCATCTGACCAACAATTTGCATGTTTAACGACATTAATTTGCCGATTTGCACATTGCAGAATTTATTTTGTATTATAAAATTTTTTATTTGTAGATAATTTGTTATACTAGTAAAGTGATAATTATACAGTAATAATCGCACGTTTTCAATTTATATCTAATAACATACAGTTTGCAGCGGCACAATTTTTTATTTAAGATACGATCTGCAAGGGTGAAAAGTGAAAAATCGTATCGAGAGAGTGTCGGATTTAAGCGAAGCGTACGGTGAGACGGAATGATACTATCGTGATAATCAGACTGTTTTTTTTGCGCCGAGAAACGCTGACGGAAGCGATTACATTGCAGTCAAGGTCGAACTCGTCGAAACAGTTAGCGGTTTCAAGTCGGTCAAGTCGCCGACACCGTGTCAGAGCTAAAGTTCAATCCGGATGAAGCCGGACGTGCGGCTAATCGGCTGGGATCGCGTCGAAAAACATCGCATTTCGCACCGCGAACTTCAGCTTCATCACGCTGCATGCACACGCGATGCATTCGCAAATGCATGATGCAAATGATGGATTACTTGCAAGCAGTTTAATTTGTATACTTTTATGCCTTTTCATCCTAAATTTCGAAAATATTAGCTTTAAAAAGTTCATTATCTTCCGATTCTTGAAATAATAAAAAATTAATTAATTTTTTTAGAAATGTTAATATTAATTCTTGTGCTAATAAAATTTAAAAAATTTCTTTTCAAAGAAAACGCGAGATAGATGAATAATATTTATCTTTATTTTTCTTGAACAACTCAAATAAAAGTTTATTATTTTTTAAAAAGAAGGCAATTAACGCCTTTAATTGCGTCAATATAATTATTAATTTACGAGTCAATTATATCACGAATCGATTTATATATCGAAGTTTATTTTTTTTACGGGATGGCTTTATTGATTCCTTTATCGGAAACTATTGTGTTTGAAATGTGTTTTGTTTCCTTTGATGGGTCGCAACTTGAAACAGAAAAGTATGCCGCATATGTTGCATTCAAATGAGCAATTGTGTCTCACGGAATGCCGGCGAGAGCCGTCAACGGTCAAACATTTGTATAAACGATCGGTTTGTGTGTATAATAGTGATTCCAGCTGACAGAATCAACAGCTTCGAAACGAAGTTTCTTCGATCGTGTCGTGCAAATATTTTAGTACATCCGATCGCGCGGCAGTTTCCGTCTTTCAACGACAAATACAATTATGATTAATTAAAATTTTCTTTCGCTAAAATTATGATATAGGTATAATTAAATATATAATAAGTATATTTTTTTATGAATTTATTTTTATAAATATATTTTAAATGAATATCTCTATTTCTGTTTTAAATAATGATAGTATAATATGTATCATATTTAATTATTTTGAAACAAGTGTTTATATTTCTACTTTTATTCTATATTTATTCCATATTCTTTTCCCATTTTTAACATATTATATTATATAACATTTGTTATTATACGACGTAAATTTGATAAATGTAGACATACTCAAATCAGAATAATATTGATCAGGTAATCGATTTCAATTCCAAATCGAGTAAAGTCTCACGAAAATAAATGACTCAGTCACGTAAATTTGAACGGGAGAGAGTTGAGTCATCGAACAATTGTCACGATCGTCGCATGGAGGCTCACCAGGCCTTCTTCGAACGTGAAAAACGTGCTAATCGCTTTAAGTGGATCTAATACTAGGATCGAGGCTAAGTTTTCTATTGCGGCGATGATAAAGGCCATCCTCTTTTATTCCGTTCGAGTTGATCTTGCTTCGTTGAGCTGACAATCGGTTTACAAGACACTTCATCGCGACGTCGAATTCGTAATGTATTCTCGCGCGGATAAAACGATCGCTCCAATTGGAGATAATACAAGGAACTACGCATGTTCCAGTTATACTCGCTCGAATCGATCTTCTCACGTCTCGTGAGAAAGGCGGATACGCATTCTGAATTCACAGTACGGAACGAGAAAAATCTTTTCCTTTCTGCGACTCCGTCTCTATTTTCGCACGACGAAATCGCGAAAGTACACCGGTATATCGCGACACGCACCATCACGGCTTTTTCCCATTGTAACACGCGAGAAATGTTAACACTTTATCCGATAAAATTCAAATTATTATGATAAATTTGTTTTCCAAAATATAATTATAGAAGAGAAATGAAAAGTGTTTGGTTTAACTTTCAAGATAAAATTGTATTTTTTTATAAACACATAATTTCCAAAATTATATTATTTCCATATTGTATTAAATATATCTTTCTTTTTTTGTAAAAAATGGTAATTATAAAAATATCAATATCATATAAATACTACAAATACGTCAATGTTAATTTTTCCTGATTATTCTACTTTTTTTCATAATAATTAGAGACATTTACCAATCGATAAATCTTGAGTGGATATTGTTCTGAAAAATACAATTTTATTTTTAATTCACGTTTGATACGTCCTTAATTTTTCCCGCGCTATAGCACGCGTATTTTCCTTCGCCTCCGGACTGCATTCCGCGACGCGCCTCGTTAGACTTGACACGTATTACTTTGCATTCTCCGTAAGCGTCTCTTGTGCCTCACGCAAAACGCAGAGCTGCGGCTCGCCGGAGCGGATAAACCGGCCCGCGGATTTCCAACTTGGAACGCCGCGCTTTTCCGATCCGTTTTTTTTGCTTCGCAAAAAAGAAGCACTTAAATGGCCAGGACATGTATCGCACATGATCGCGTTTTAAGATGGAGAGAAATTAGCGGGATTTACAGCTGAAAATAATTTTATATTTAAAAATAAACCTTTGCTAAACTTTGAAACTTTGTAATTAAAGAAAATTAGTTGTGTTTAAAATATTTAAAATATTTAATACAACAAACATTTGAATATTTTAATGCGGAAATCAATTATAATTTTCTTATAAAAGAAAGTCTATTTGAAATCGTTCGAGGAATAAAATTATGTTAACGATTTCAAGGTTTAAATTGTCAAGAGTCTTTCTTGAAATATTCAAGCTCTGCAATTGCTTAAAATAATTGTCGTTCGAGCGTAGAAACAGAGAAGCAAGGATTCAGGAACTCGTCGATCTATTACGAGCACGCGCGACGAACATGCGATAAGGACGCAAGTGACGTTTCACGGGCGCGTCGAAGGACTCGCGATAAGTCGATAACATTCATGGAAGCGCAGCAGCGTGTCAAGGCCCAATGTCAAGCCATAGTGACCGAGGGAAGAGCGTAATGTGTATTGTGTATCAGCGCCATAATTCTCTCTGCGTCCATTAGCGTTCGAGTGCGTTTTGTTACGGAAACATCGTTCCGACGAGTCCGCCGTGCGCACGCGATCCTTGACATTTTACCGACGATGTTCGTCGGCAGATAAGAGCGCGAGAAACGAGCATGACACGAAATTACTATTGCGATTCCGGACTGCTGCAATTTTCACGACAAATTGCGGCACAAAAGTTGCGGAACGACGAGTGGAGAAGTTAACGAGGCCCCAAGGACGACACTTCGCCGTTTTACGCAATCGCGCGGCCAAATACAATAAAGATACATAGATTTCGTGAGCGTTTCGAGGTGCGAAACAGCGATTTGGCACGTGCAAATGTCGCTGAACAACGTCGGCGGAAATGAAGGTGGAAATCAATCAATCGGGCTGGTGGACTGCCAAGTCGTCAGTTCGGCTTGATTAAAGTCTGATTAGATATACAGTCGCATTGAAGAAATATCTATAAACTATACTGTTCTTTTTTTATAAAATTTGATTTCATATAAATTGTATCAAAAAACCTAACAAATATAAGAAATCCATTTAAGGAGGCTAATAGCAGAGCTTTAAAAATTCTTTAAGAATATTTTTGAAAGATAAAAATTAAAAAATTCTAAAATATTTTACTGACAATGCTATGTTTATAAAATAAAGCACTATTTTGTAGATGTACATATAGTTTTGATTCAATTTATGGGTATACCGACTTGTTCAGAATTTTAAAACATATAAAGAATTATTTTTTTATTCAGCATTGGTGTGGATATTTTTTTATATATAAATTTATATAATAATTATTAAATTAGGAAATATTGTATCACATTCTTATGATGAAATTGTAATTGTTCGTGATACAAAAACGCGTCGAAATAGGGAAACAATAGCAAGCAAATTTCGCCAGAACTGTAGTCTCTATCGATCGCGTCTTCAGACGTCGCACCTCCAGCCACGAAAATGCACGGTTCGTGACCGCGTTACGTCAAGAACGGGCTTTCAAATCCAGCCGCAATTCTTCCACGCAAATGACAAGAGCGAGAGAAAAAAAAGAATGAGAAAGAGACAGCGCACTTGAATAAGCTTGGAATATATTTTCATATTCCTGAAGTCACGTCAAGAAAATTGAATACAGTGAATACTAAATTAATTCATGCCAGAAAGATATGAAAGTGATACGAAAGAAAAATATAAAAAACTCGGTCTATTCCAAGATATTTCAACAATATAAAAGAGAAATGAATACAGTGAAAATTTAAAAGTTGATTATATAAAGGTAACAGTAAATTAATATAGCACGCATACAACGCGATAATCTTTAATTATTTAATTGAAAAGCAACAGTATAAATTAATATTATAAAATAATTATACCGGAAGAAGCAAAATGGTAAATCATATTTGAGGAGGAGAGAGGTAAAAACAAATACCTCTGTTATCTCTAGATAAACCAGAAAGAGCAGCATAAAAGTAATGGAAAAGTCACTCGTGAGAAATGTGGTATGTGATTTATCTACGAGTGAGAAAGAAAACGCGAGAAGAGAAGAAAACGGGAAGCTAGCGCTACCTGAAGAAACGGAAGATGCGATAATTACCAAGGATTCGTCCCCATTGTCAGCGCTCATAGCCCCCCGCTGACGCTAGAGGAAGCCGAACGTCGTTCGCACGTCGTCGTCTTCGTCGCCGGACTGCTCGTCGCTCCTCTTCGCGGCTTCGCTTCCGGCAGCAGCCGACGACGCTCGTCATTCTGCGTCGAACTCTGCCTCCCGGACGGGACCGTTCCCGAGGGATTCCGCCTGTGACAGCCGCTCTCGGCCTAATCCGTCATCCGGCATCGCACCGCCGATGAACTCGGACGACTCCGACGACCGACGAGCACCTTCGTTCACGGATGTCCGTCTCCTGTGGAACGCGGTGTCACTTCTGAAGTGCGCCGGATAAATGAAGATTGACAGATAAAGGAATGGGAAGAGCGAGCAAAGACGAAAGGAACAGTTACGAGGAATGCGATTGGGTTTGGACTTTTTTGGAAAAAGATCGGAGGGAAAAGGAAATATAGTGACTGCGTGCTTGCACGCGAGGATCTTCGTGAAGTAACGAGAAGAGGAGAAATAAACAACGTACGAAGGAGAGAGAAGGATAATCAAGGAATAGCGGTTAATTAAACTGTCGCAGTTTGATTCTTGTACCAACATCAGCTGTCACGATTGCATAGTAATTAATCGCAGGACTTCAGCGCACTGATTACGTAAAGGAAGATAAGAATCTCCTCGTCATTTCGCGTAAGGATAATATTTATCGTAAATAATAGTATTTGGATTGCGTTGGTCAGGAGAGAGAAAACGAGAATTGGCAAAATAACGATTAAATAGCGGTTATGTAGGCATCTAGGGATATAGGACAACACAGCGGATAGGGATATCCTGTGCGCTGCCGAGAAAGGAGAAAAGAAACGGCCGCAAGGATCTAGGGATATAGTCTCGGTTACAATAGGCGGCCAGCTGGTTTTTTTTTAGAACGTACAGTTAATTTTGCGGCAGTCGCGCTGCGTTTTTGGAGTAGCCCTCGCGCTACTTAGGGCTCCCCTGGAGCGCCCCCTTCGATTAAGCGCACGCACTCGCGCAAGAACTCCGCGAAGGCCAGGCAGAGCGAAAAAGATGGACGATAGCGTGGCAGGCGCGTGTGAGCGAGAGACGGAGAGAGGACACTGACACACGAAACGTCAACGACACCTCTGTCGCTCTTCTCCCTCTTTCTCTCTCTCTTCCTCCTTTTCTTCCTGTCTCCCTTTTTTGCACCAAACCTCCCCGCGAAACTGCACTCACTTCGCGATATCGAGCGATCCCGCCGAGCTCCGGATTTCACTTCGAAATCTTCGTCGAGACGGACGCGTGGACGAACAGACGGACGGGCGGCGACTTCTCTCTCTCTCGAGCGAGCGAGCGAGTGCCGTTCCCCTTCGAGAGCGCACGGAACGGTATGGTACAGGGGTGGGGTAAAGGGGGCTCGAGGGGCACCGCACGGTGCCCGCTTCAGTTTGCGAAAGGAAAATCGAGGGGAAGGGGGGAGGACGAGATCCGCGGTACGGCGCGCGCGAGCCGCGCCGGGAAAATTGCCAGCCGAGGTTCTCTCCTGCGCGAATCGAACCTCGATGTGCGACTGTGTGACGATTCCACCGTCAACACCGAAGATGTGCCAGTGTGTGACGGACTTTTTCCCACCATGATGGGACGCTGACGAGAGGTGGGGAGGAGGTTACGACGATGGTACCGCCATTTGTTGTAATGGAGAGGTGTTCTCCTGGCTTCGCCGACGTGAGTGTCGCCAGGAACGGCTCGATGCACCACGAGGCACGATGCTGAAGAGTTAAAACAGCGTCCAGTTTTCGAAAAAAGGACTATAAAAACGATAGAATAAAATTAGCGAAAATCTGATTCTTATGACAGTTTTAGGAGATTTTAAATTAACGAATTTTTGAATTTTTGTGTTACCAAGTTTTTTTTTTTTAAATACTGAGGTTTATAAATTGCGAAATTAATTAAATAATTATGATAAGTAACAATATAGAAAGAGTTTTCACAAATTCTCTAAATAATCTATAGAGAAATAAACTAATATTTTTGAAAGACTTTATAATAAAAATGGATCAACTTTTGTTGTTTGAAATTGACTAGCATTGTAAGTTATCAAATCTACTTTTGATATAAAAAATTATATAAATTTGTATTCTAAATCTTTTCGACGCTCTCTACTGGTTGTAAATTACAACAAAATCTTACCAGTCCATTGCTTTACACATCGGGGTCTTTGTTTCCCTCAAGGTTCTATGTTTGTATTCCGTGCCTGACGGCCGTGAAGAAAGAGAGAAATTTTACGCGCCACGTTTAGAATCGCTATACACTTTGCCATTTTCGTGGTTGGTTTCTGAAGAGAATAGAGCGACGGCCTTTCCACCTTCTCGCTCGTTGAAAATAACGCGCCGCGAAATTGCGGAACATCGTTGCGCGATAATTTCTAAATTTTTTCATAGCTATTCTCTGCTGCTCTATTTGTGTACTCGGCAATTTTATTCAGTCTATTTATTCTTCGGTATCGACTTTTAGTATTATGCTTATTTTACTTCTTCAAGTAGATTATTATAATATAATAACTTGGATAAAAAAATAACTTTAAAAAAATACTTACATTATTATAAACGACTTAATATTTCTTCGGAAACAAACATCTCAAACAAAAGAATGACGAGGAAGAATTGTGTTAGAAATATATCGCAAACGCTCTAAGTCGGGACGGATGGGATGAATAAAAAGAAAGGAATTTCCTTTCTTCAAAAGTCAGGTTTCCATGAATAAAAGACACAGTGAGACACGCAGGTTTCCTCGTCGCGCTTGTAGCGTTAAACACGGCTGCTCGATAACAAATTTATCTCGTCAACTTTGAATTTCTTATCCTGAATTGGTAAATCGAATTCTTAAACAAACTTTAAATTAGCTTTTGAAGCTAACTGGCATCACGGGATACAGGACGACGACTGGATAGCCGCTTTTAACGCCAAACGTGTGTCGAGAGACTTGAGCGACAGACATTCAGACGACAACACAGACAGACGAGAGAGACGTTTTTCACAACATTTAATAAAACGCTATCAACTATGTATGCCTCTTTTTTACTCAAATACTCTAAAAGTTACTTACATACGTGTATAATTTTTTTTTTATATGCTTATTCCATTCCGCAATGCCGCGCGCGCGGACGTGTCACATCCCTCTCAGATTTCAGACGCAGCCCTCTATCCTCCTGCACTTTCTGGAACGCTTTTTCCCTCTTTCTCTCTCTCTCTCTCTCTCTCTACCGATCGGCAGTTTCTACCTTTCGCTCATTCCATTTAGGCACCGATCATCGACGGATGAACACAGTAAGGTATGACAGCGCAATTGTGGAGCGAAAAGAAAAAAAAAAAGGAAAGAAGAAAAAGGGTGCCTCTCGCGCGGGAACTGACACGTCCGGCTTCGAGTGTATTCGTATATTTGTATATGTTTGAATGTATCTGTGTGTGTGCGTGCGTGTGTATATGTCTGTCCGTGTGAGCGCGTGTGGAGTCGTGTGGACGTGTACAAATTTAATACTATCGTTTACGTTCGCTTATGTATAGTACTTCAATTATAATCGTGGACACAGCGATCAACGTCCCGGGATGCGCTAAAGAGAGGTCCGTTTCTCTCGAAATGTTCTTCTACGGGGGAGAAGGAGGGAGGGGGATGATTGATTGATCGGTTGGTTGGTTGCTTGGTTGGAGGATGACGGGCGTGCAAAAGGTAGTCGGCGTTGTGATGCGGTGTGCCCTTTCGCGGGCTTCCCTCTTTGACCCTTTATTCCGTCGCGGAAAGCCGAGCTCGTCGCCGCAAGCGCAAATTTCCTCTTCGTCTTCCTCTTCCTCGTCTTCCTAGTCGAGTTTTCTCCGTTTCGTCCGTTTCCCATTTCGCCGAATTTCGTCGCGCTTCACGCTTTCAGACAAGTCTTTTTTTTCTTTATTTCAAAAAGAGTTTGCGCAATTAAAATCGTATATAATCGTGTAGGCACCGTATTTGTTACAAATGTGCGTTTATAACAATTGAGAAGGAAAATGTCAAGTATATCGAGCGCCGAAGTATATTGTATAATTATGAATCGTTATATATATATATATAAATATTATTGTAGAAATACAATTCAAAAATATATTAGAGTATACTGATTAATTATTCAGAACAATCAAATTAATAATTAAACTCCGCCACCGGAGTCGTAAAATAATATTATTTATAAAATTAAAGAAATAACAATTATATATTTTTCTATATCTTTTATATATATATATGTGTATATATATAAAATATATAAATTATTCTATATAGTAAAATAATTTTTTATGTATTTTACATATATAAAATAAAAATTTTAACATGCTATATGACATGTAAATTTTTATAAAATAATCGCTTTTTTGTATATTATAAATTATACAAAAAAATTATTACGATAATAATTATACTTATCATTATCAATTATAAGAAGACATTATACGAAAAACCGCTCGTACAAAAGCAAGTTTATAAAAAAAAGTTTTCTTGGCACTCGACATGTGCGACATTTTCCGGATTTCGTCGCATAATTATTTACGCTTGAAATCCGCGAAAGAAGAAAATCGAAATCCGCGCTTCGCCGTCGAACGTTCACTAAAATATCATTCGCAACTCCCACACTGACCGGCGTAAAAAAGTTCCCATATAATTTGTCCCTTAATCTATAAATCTGGCGGATTGCACCGTTTTTTTTCCTCTTCTTCGTATGCACAAGTATCACAATCGCTTCACGTTTCACGCTCATCTACGAATGTGTCATGTGTATGCGTGTGCTTTTCTCGTCTTTTCCTTTCTTTTTTCTTTATCTTCGTCGTTTTCGAACGACGATCAGCGAAAAGCTGTTTCGTTCTGCTGCTTCACGACTCGAAATGTCGCTCCGGAGTGCGATTTGGCGGCTCTAAAGATTCAAGAGATCCGGAATTTCCACTGTGGAATGTCGCTTCGACCAAGAGACGCATTGTACTCTATAAAATTTCAATCTTTTAATGTTTATTGATTCTAAGCGCTTGGATATAAAAATGAGAATTAATTTCTTAAGCTATCTAAGTTTTATTGAATATAAATGTTTTGCTTTATATAAAATATTGAATAAATCAGACATATTTTTGTGTGTACAAAATATCATAAAGGATCAGGTAGAAAATTCAATATAAAAATATCGAATTATATAAAGTGAAAATATTATATTAGAAAAATATCGAATACAGATTATATAAATTTCAATTACATTAAATATTAAACATTAAATAAAATATGTTGCAATATTTTGACGATGCAAATTTTGACATTTGACATTCCAAAATGGCTCTCTCGAATTAGAGTGAGCAAATTCTCTCCGGATCGATGCATTATTCGCGAGCGCAGCCTCTGAGCCGAGGCTCGCTTAAAAAGAAATGCGACCCGCTTCCGGTCGATCGGCTCTACGCTTAAGGTATTAAAGTTAGATATTATAAACTGCAATCTAAGCTGATCCCATGTTATTTCTTGGTCACAACCTCGTTGAATCTCTTCCCACCATTGCTTACGGATCGCTCTTGAAGAATGTCGACGAGAATCCGAGGCCCGCAGAGTACTGCTTCGGACTCTTCCAGGCCCTGATTCTTGTCGCCTCGCTCGCTGACATTATCGTCGATCTACACCGAATGAGTCGCTTAATTTCACGATCCGGAAGGTTTTCTAACTTCTGCTGCAAAGGAAGGAATTTTAAAAACTCTTCGATCGCAGTAAAAATCGTCCGAGTCTCTCCAGGTCGCGAAATCAGTTGATTCCAGCCGGCGTATCGATTCCGCGGGTCGACGATGACGTCACGAGTTTCTCCATCCCGGGCGGACGCACACGTCGTAGCCGTAAAATTGCCTAACGACCTCCGTAACGAGACCCGCTTGTCGTCAGTTCGGTGCCGGAGGATCTTCCTTCTCCCTCGGAGGGCACTTACATTGACCCTTGTTCGCGTGTCGCGCGCGGGGGAGGTGAACTGTCAACAACCCCCGGAAGCCTTTTTCGTCTAAATCGTCCTCGAAGTCGCCGCTGAACTCAGACGAGATCCGAAGAATTTCGCTCTCTTCCGGGCTTCGGGAGAAGCCGCGCCTCCGAGTGTGTATCCGAGTATATTCGTACTCGGCGAATTCCGCCGTTCGGCCGAAAGCAGACCGAACTTTCACGTGCTAAAGAATCAAGTTCCTCGTCCTCCTGGTTCGTCGCGACGCGCATCGAGCGACGTCGGTGTTTACTCGGAACGGTCCTGCCGCGAAAAAGATTCCGCCGTCTAGGCGGACACGGTCTCCACCATGGATTTCTTGATGATTTCGCCGAAATTCTCATCGCAGTCTTCGGCCGCGGCCGAAGACTGCTGCTCGCCGGTCACCTGGACGGGCTCGACCATCTCCACAACTTTGCCGACCGTCCCGTGACCACCGTGAGTGCCGTAAGTGCCGTGATGATGATGCTGCTGCTGCTGCGGCTGCGGCTGCGGTTGCTGCTGCTGCGGCTGCGGCTCGTGCATCTCGCCGTAGTACGAGTACCGGCCGCTCAGCAGCTCCGAGAACGGCTCGAGCTTGCCCTGCTGCATCTGCTGCACCACGCTCGCGCTCATCGGCTGCACCGAGTTAGTGAGATTGGTATATTGCGCGGCACTCGCGGCGTCCTCCTGCGCGAACACCGTCGATTCGTACGACGAGTGCTGCTGCTGCTGCTGCTGCTGCTGCTGTTGCTGCTGCTGCTGCTGCTGCTGCTGCTGCTGTTGCTGCTGCTGCGGTGGCTGTTGAACATTCTGATGTGCTTGCGCGCAGGCACCTTGAAGCGCCGCGGCGTTGGCGGCGTCCTGGGCGCCGCCGTAAGGCCCGTAATGCGCGAACGCGGCCGGATTGTTCGGCGACTGGAACTGCGCCGGCTGGAACTGCGGTACTCGCGACGTGGACGGCAGACTCGCGTACGGCGATCCGTAGTCCTGATACGAGGACTGCTGGAAGCTCATGCCGCCACCTCCACCGCCGCCGCCGCTGCCCGCGCCACCTCCGCCGCCGCTATTCTGCGAAAAACTCTGGAAGGTTTGACTGAATTCCGGGTGAAGCTTACGCTGCACCCCGACCACCGATTGGCTGCCGTCCACCGCGTCCTCGCTCGCGTAACAGTCGTCCCTGATCGCGTACAGGTCCAGACTGTCCTCCCGCGTGCCGGGCACTTCCGGTTGACAACCGGCCGTCACCACGCCGCCGTCGTGACCCGTTTCGTAGTGCAAGGTCGTGAACCCGCCCCCGCCTCCTGGCCCCGCGCCCGGAAGCGCGCACGCGTCACCGCCTCCGGTGTCCATGACGGAACCCAGGGAACCGATTTCTCTCAGGGGACCGCCAGCCCGGCCGCCTTGCCCTTGATTGTCCGTCACACGATCGTGTTCGCCGCCGCCCTCCTCCTCGCGCTGCTTCTTTTCCAGTTCTAGTCGCATCAACGTGTGAATGAAGTGTGTTCGCACCCGCACTGGGTTGAATTCGATCCTGCCCGAATTGTTCGCGCAGCCGTCGCGCGTGCAACCGCAAGGAAATCCCGGCCGATCCACCTAAAAGGTAGGTATACTTAATGAGAAACTCGTCGAGTGATCGTTTGCGAAGAGATACATCTTGCTTTTCCTATTTACAATTTTTTTTATTTGTATTAATTTTCTTAACAATTTAGAGAATTATATTCATCTTGTATTTTTTTCTTAATTTAAAATCAATGTTGGAAATATTAATGGATTTAATTTAATTGATCGATGAAGAGCTTTGCGCAAACTGCAAGGTTCGAACGAACGGAATTATATTGTCAAATAATTTTACACAAATGGAGATCATCTAAACACATAGAATTTGAAAAGAATTCAAGGTCGCAGTTTTAATTAAAAAGCTGCATGACGTTGAAAATGGAGAAATTGAGATGAATGAAGTCCTCTCTCAATCTCCACTTAGCACAAAAGCTTCGAAAATCCATTAGTCCTTAGATCTTTCAGTAAGACTCAGCAGAACTGACGGGAAGAATTGAGATTAATAAATGAAGGGACTGAATGAAGAATTCAGCGCGACGCGATTTCTCAAAAACTTTCGAAGATTAATCTCAAGTTACATAAGATACAATGCCAAAACGATGAAAATTTAATTTACACAAATTTTCTCGAGTTCAAAATTCTTAAATTTTCCATTTCGCATTCAATCGGGATCACAATTTGCTAAATTTTACATATCTAAAGATTCTACGATAAAAGAATTAAAAACTGGAACCTGACTGTCGTCATTGGATTACATAAAGCTTGCTTCCGCTTAGCTCCCGTGGAGATTCTCACCTGACACTTGACGTTGGCCCTGCTGCAAGGGCAGCTCTCGGGATCGCAGTAGCCCTTGCACCCGCAACCGCAGTGCTCTCGGCTGGCGCGTATATCGCGGCATTCGTCCTTCTCGACGGCGTCTATTCTCCGGACGCCGGCGGCGCGCAGCAACGCCCGGCGCTGCCACGTGGGTACCGGCTGCAGGAAGTAATAGCTGTCGATGTCGAGCTCCTCA